CGCTTTAAAGCGAGGACTCCTCTCCCTCTATCTATGGCCGAGCACTTCCGTTTGGCGCGCCAGTTGTGAGCGTTCCCAGGCGCTGCTAAAAATGGAAATGGCTGTCATTTCCTTTCCTATGAAGCGGGAGACATGCGAAGCCCCCTCCGCCATGGCGAACTAACCGAACCCATCAGCCATTAATGGTCGAAATGAGTATTCATGCTCAACTATTTGGCAGCAGCCGTAGCCGTAGCCGTTTTTGAAGTTTGCAGCTTCTTGTCCGGGGCTTAAAGCGTTAAGGATTGAGGATCTATCCTCGAGTATGCATCGTTCGCCCATTGAAATATTAATTAGTAGTATGGAACGCTCCCAGGCACTCCTGCCAATGGGAATGCCAATGGGAATGGAATTGCTGCAGTATTTGCTTGACTGACGATTGCTGCAGTGCAACCACTGACACTCATTCTCATCCACAATCTCCTTCTGCTGCTGCTGCTGCTGTTGCTGCTCCACCTGTTCCAACTGCTCTTTCTCCACACCCTACCCCCACCGTTTCCCTAGAACTTACGCAACTAATCTGTGCTCCGTGTGTGTGTGTGGGTGTGTGGTGTGGGTGTGTGTGTGGGTAGTTGTTGGGTTTTGCGGGGGCATTTGCATTTAATCGGATTTGCGTACTGGCTGCCCAGATTACAGGTTGTACTTATACTTCTGATTCCCAGGCAAAAGAAGAGGCGGCAGGCAGACAGACAGACAGACAGGCAGACAGTCGATGCCAGTGCAGACCAAAGTCCATTTGTTGTGCAATCCCAATGTGTGTATGCCCGTGTGTGTGTGTGTGTGTGTGTGGACCACAGGCAGAACTAGTAAGCAAGTGGCATCATGACAAATTAACATGAGCAGCCAGTACCCCCCCGCACACTCACTGGACACACTGGACTCCATTGTTGCTGCCTGTCATCTTGCGGCAGCTGCTGCTCCATTGTGGCAGGGACGGGACGGGACAGGCTTGGCATGTCGTAGAAAACCTATTTAGAAATGTTTTCGTTGCTCCTGGAAGCTGGCTTCAATTAGGCATCGTTCCAAGTTTGCTCTTTGCCTCTGCAAAGATTTTCTGATTTGTAGACCAAAGGGGGAGCAAGTGGCAAACAATTAGTGAAAGTTCTTTGCCTGCTTTGGATCTACATACGCACTGCCCTTTACAGGGTATCGTACCGGCTGAACGCTCTCCCTGTGGCTCTGCTTTTATTTGCCGGGAAATGTTTGTAGCATTTCCGCTTTATATCAAATATAAAAAATGACTCCTTTTAGACGTATTTGACAAAAGTTCTATGTCACTCACACTCCTCCTCTTCGGACTGCTCTATGCCACACACACACACGCACACTGATGTGTGTTCCTGTTCCTGCCACACACAAAACCTTCCCCGTATAGAGACATATAATTGCATAAATCAAACTCAAACATGCAACATGAAAAATCGCATTAATTTATCTGCTCACTGCTCATGGGTAGTAGTCTCTCTGCCCCACCGCCACTGCCACAGCCAGTGTCTCTGCCACTGCCTATATGGGGCACATCATCCTCCAGATGCTGGGGGTAACATATCCGCTTATGTCAATTTTTTTTTTTTTTTTTTTTTTTGCTGCTCTGCTACTTGGAGTGGCGGCATCATCAACGCTGCTCTCCGCACACTCCTCAGCCCTGCCACTTCAGCCAGTTGTCACTGTCAGTTTTGGCTTCCAGTGTTTTGTCACTGGAATCCCCACTGCCCCCTGCCCCCAACAACCCACTCCTGCTGATACTCACCAATCCTAGCTCTCTCTCTCTCCGTCTGTTCTGTTCTGTCGCCTGGTTTTGTTTGCTTAAATGCTTCATTTACTTTATGGATTGTTGCTATATTTTTTCTTCAACTTGCAACCCAAAATGTGGAATGGCGTATAAATTTCACGTCAATTTTTATACACACACTCCACGAGTGGGAGAGAGTGCAGAGAGAGTGGGAGAGAGTGGTCTGAAGGAGCTCAGCTGGGTGAGCCCTTGACTGATTGTGGCCCGTCACAACTTGGTTCCTTTTAATAACTTGCCCACACACACACACCACACACACATGTGGTGTGTGTGGGTGGGGGGTGCTGGGAGGATTCATCCGCTAATAACCTGGTTTTATTTATTTTTTTCTATTTAGGTCGCCCACTTTAAGTGCCTCCTCTGTTCACGCTACATAGTTTAAAATTCTTTATAATTGGATTGTAGCATCTAAAGCTGCACTGAAACCACCCGGGCATCGTACCCCCATCCCCCTACCCGGATCAGGGCACCCACATTTTTTATGGCCAGCCTCGGACCGGGACCGGAGCCGGAGCCGGACCAAGCCGAACCGAACCCAGGAGTTTTGCTGGCTGCTTGTCAAAAGGATTTTACAGTTGACGCGTGCAAAGCAAAGCTGCGCCAGCGCCAGCCTCAGACCCACTCAAACCCTTTTCTGGAGAGGCCGTAACCCTGGATGCGGCACTCCACTCCACAGCCAGACACAGATATGGCAGAGTGGGGGAATCCTGGATGTGATGATATGTTTCATTTCACACGGCAACGGCTGGCAATCCTTTCGACCGCACACAGACAGCACCCGCTCTCCACTGCGCCCCCTGCCCATCCCCCACCACACCCCACCCCACCCCACTCACTGCCACTGCCACAGGGCCACAGGAGCCGAGATTTATGTTTTCTTGTAAACAAAATAACGGACATGCTTGAGGCTTTTTGGCAGGGGATGGGGATGGGGCACGGGCAGAGGGGTAGATATCATATGTGTGAAGGGGTGCTGCAAGGTGGGGTAGGGTAGCCAGCCCCAGGCCATTCCCCGCACTGACAAACGGGATTAGGCGCATGTAAACCTGCGTGTTCGATTTGCAGCTTTCTTGCCTCCCAACTTCGACTTGGAGCCGTATCTGAATCGGATCATCAGGGATGTGGTGTGGATGTGCTCCTTCCTCTCACATACACATCTGTTTGGTGTGTGTGTGTTTGTGTGTGTTTGTGAGGCTGTAGCAAACGTAAAAATTAATTATTCAAAGGCGCATGAGATAACTGAGGAGATATCTCTTTCCTTTTCCTTCTTTTATCCCTCCTTCCCACATTTCGTTTCCTATTTGGTGTTGCTATTTTTTTGTTACTGTTTGGAAACTGTTCTTTGCTTATCTATCATTAATGGATTGGCCAACAAATGCTATAAATCTTAAATTGCATTCTTAAATTCTTAAATAAAGCAACTCAAAATGAAGAGCTTTGATTTGAACTTTGAAGCAACCTCACACGTACATATATCGTTTAATTCATTCATAATCGAAGCCTTGCCACGCTCACTGTATAAGCCCATACTCATTCCCTGCCACATCTCCTTGAGCCACTCCTTGAGACAGTTGCTTCAAAGAACACTTACTTCCATTTCGGCATAGATACTCGCAGCCTCCTGGATAAAGCCTCCTTCAAAGCGCTGGCTGTTAAATGAAAATTTGTGTAAGCCGCAAAAAAGAAGAAAAAGTCCATTGAGAGAGACGGAGAGAGAGAGAGTGTGCGGCGACGATTGGCAATCGAATTTAATGCGCATTTCTCTTTTAAAGTGTCTGCATCTGGGGACAGGACAGCGCCACCACCCATGTCGCCTTTTGTCAACAGCAGCCAACTCCCCAAGCCCAATCCCCCCAAAAAAAAAAAACAAGTAGATGAAGCCCCCAACCCAGCGAGCCGCACTAATCAACACAATTACGGAGCAGTCGAAGGAAAACTTTTCTAATTGGATATGAAGACGCGCACATGCGTTCCGTTCCGTTTCGTTTCTTTTAAAGGCGCGCGCGCCTGCATGCCACTCCCAGCCTGGGTCCAAATATTGTGACAAGAAAATGGAGCAGCATCCCAGCTGAGCTGGTAGAAAAGGCTCCAGTTCCAACTCCCATTTAGGCATCGCATCGCCGTTGCTCCGTCGCTTTGACAAATTATTTTTAAGCCAATTTACAACTTGAGAAAAAGTATCAGGAAAACATATCACACTTGCTGAGGGGGTGAGCGAGACGCGAGGAAGGGGATGGCATGGGATGGGATGGGCATGAGGCAGAACTCTGCTGTATACCCCTGGGAAGGAGTGGCGTGGGGATGGGGTGATGGGCTGGGAGTGTTTGTGTAGGTGGAGCAAATATAATGCGGGCAGGGGGGGGGGGATAAAAGTGTAAAGTTGACATCCCAGGCACATTACTCACTCGAGGTGCCAGCCAGCCAGGCCATCCTGCCAGCCCATGAGCAGCGAGCAGCGCGCAGCAGCGGGGACATCCAAGCCAAGCCAGCCAGCCAGCCAGCCAACCGATTCCACGTCAAAGCAGGCAGACAGGGAGCAAGCAAAGAACAGAGACCAGAAATGAGCATGGCCAAGAGAAATGGTAATGCGGCCGGCTGAGAGCCGATACCTTCACTTGCCGCTTGCCACTTGCCACTTGCCTCAACTCTAACCCAATCGCTGAGTATATGCAGCCAAGAGTTTGTGTGCTGTGCCGTGCACTTCTTTTGCAGCATTTTCTCAATGTCTCTCGACAAAATGTCGACATCGTACTCGGCGGAAACCATTAATTTTGTCACTTTCGGAAGTGCAAAATGCCGGAGGAGAAGGTGCTGCAGCTAGGACGGCCTGGGCCATTGACCAAGCGTACAGCAAAACAACTTTCAGCAATATTGAGAATCATGAAAAGGCAATTACAGTCAGGCAGCTGCTACTGCCCAGCCAGCGATCAAGAGAGAGAGAGAGAGAGAGAGTGGGATGCCCAAACTGACTACCAAGCAAGTTAATTGTTGGCCAGGCACTGACCGCAATTACCGCTGGGGACAGCGAAGGCAACCCACACACCACACACGACCCACGCATGGGCAACGCAGGACACGGGAGAACGTACAGAGGGGGACATGGGTCTACTAACCGCAGTAGCCGCAACGCACACGTTGTTGTGACCCGTTCATAGTCTCGATTGTTGACTTAATAATTACAAATGCATAATTTAATAGTAACAAAATATATGAGCAATGCCGAGAGAGAGGAGTCTGAGGCGAGTCAAGAGTATACATGAAATGTAGGGATGCTTACAAAATATAATAGGAGACAGAGACAGAGGAGTGTTCTGTTCAGTTCAGTTCTCAATAACGCACATAATATTTATGCCACTCTTGCCGAGATTGACGCCCTCGAGCGCCGACTCCTGCTGCTGACGCATGTAGATGAGGAACTGAATGATGACGTAGAAGAAGTTGTTTCTGTCGTAGACGCAGTTGTGCAGCTCCTTGTCGCTGATGAAATTGAACTTGGGATTGAGCGGGTTGCTGCTGCAGAGAATGGCACAGTGGGCCTTGTTGTGCACGGCATTCACAATGTCCTTGGTGGAGCGCTTCTCGTCGCGCATCAGCACATAGCGGCAGTGAAAGGGCCGACCCCCGCCCTGTGGCATGGGCATCAGTTGGCTGTCCAAATACACGCAAAACAAATGGAAAATAATCTGCAAGAAATCAATTAATAAACTGATTTTGTAGAGATTTCTGTGGCTCGTTTCTTACGGCTGCATCGGTGGGCAGGTGGTCGCCCCATTCCTGTCCGTTGTGCGAGTTGCCAGAGTTCCAGCGGAAATCGGCCAGGCAGGAGCCCTGCGACAGCTCCTTGATGCGTTGCACCAAGTACTCCTGATTGCTGAAGGTGTCGAGAAAGGGCAGCAGCATGGGCAGAATGGGGGCACAGGTCTGCACAAATTGCTGATTATCGGCTGTCTTGCGCAGCCGCTCCAGACTCACGGCTCCGATCTTCAAGTCGTTGAGGCCACGCTGCCGGAACATTTCGTCCACATGGTTGATCTCCTTGACCAGGCGCTGCAGTATGGTGGTGGAGATCCACTAAAGAAACGAGGAAATTATTAGTCAAGGCCTTGCGGCAGCGGCATCGTGCAGCATTTGGCATACATTTCGCAGGTTGGCCACATATTGCGACAGTTTGTCCGTGGAGATGCGATTGATGACCTCCGAGTTGCTGTCCTTGAACTGAAACGAGCTCAGCTCCTCAATGGATGTGGGCGCGCTCTCGGTGGAGACCGGTGGCGGCGGTGCCAGCTGATAGATGGTCCTCAATCGGTTCAACTGTTGGTTGCAACAGTTCCAGAACGAATTATTGGAGCTCGTGTGCTGCATGCTCGGCCCATCCGAATTCTCCAAGATGCTACGCTGACGTCGGGCATTCTTCATCAGCGCCGGCAGCTGGCGGGCATCGGTGAGGAAGTCGTCCTGCCGCAGCTCGGCATAGGGCGAGTCATCGCTGATGTTGCTGATATTCAGCGAACTGTTGTGCATCATTGGCGAGCTGTTGTACGAGGCATTCTGCATGTGCTGGTGCTGGTGCTGCTGTTGGGGTGTCCTTGTGATGCTGGGACTGCGACGCTGCGATGGAGAGCTCCAGCAGGAGTCCTCGAACGATGAATGCCAATTGATAATGGGTGTATCATCCTCGAAATCGGTGTCCACTTCATAGCAACGCGGCTTCTTCGCCTTCCGTGTGAAAATGGTTCTGAAAGAGTTGTCTAAACGACCACGAGAAAGCATTAGAATGGTCCCGGAATGAACACCCCGGAATCAACTCCTCACCATCATAGCCATCCAGCAGACACTTTTGCACATCTGTGCCCAGAACCTGGTCGCCGCTTAAACATAACCACAAATACTTGGCCAGGCAGGCCAACGCGCTGAGGGCCGTCACCGTGGTCACCGAGCACTCGGCCACGAAGAAGTACGTCCAATGCAGCGAGGGGCACGTCTGCGACAAGTCAAACAGCAGCAGTGACAGGAGGGCCACGTTAATTGTGCACCATTTGAGATATGTTTTGGCCTGGGCGCCGCGGAGACGCAGATCCAAGCTCTTCTCCACCAACGGCGAGCTGGTGGACATTGAATTTGTGTTAGTCATATCTTCGTGGGTGGTATTTCGCAATCTTACCTTTTGCACCGGGAGTAGTTCATGCTGTTTATCGTACTTTGATTTTTTAATAAAATTTTGTGTTTTTAATAAAATTTGCGGGAAAAACTTATCGATAGCGACCATCAACAATATACCGCAATGGACCTTTTCATTAATGCCGTAAATATACTGACCGACACGACAAGAGCGTTGATATTCCTCGATTTTTATATTCGGCTTAATATTACTAGCTAGTTAGCCCTCTCAACCCCAAAAAAATAATTTTATCCAATTCCTCAATAAATTTTGTTCAGGATTCAGCTCCTTTCATTGGATTGTTTACATAGTAAGGTTCAAACAAAAACAACATAAAACGAATGAGACGTCGTTGTCGGTGGCGCTGCCAGACTCGTGTAATTCGTAGTTGTGGGCTGCCACCATGATATTTTGCTACCCGTTTCATTACCGATTCGCTTTGAACCGATATGGCAGATCTAAAAACAAATTTCCGCAAAAAAGAAGAAGAGTAAAAATTTTCCGCAAAAAGGAAGAAGAAAACCGAAGCGGAAAATTTGTCAGCGGTATTTTTTGTGCGCTAAATAGAGTTTGGCGGTCATTTTGAAAATTATAAGGATAAGGGTATGATGTGTGACGTATGACGTCACAAAATCCCGAGCTTTCAAGGATAAAGCCCACCTCACCCACATAACAAATAACAATGGCGACCATTTTTAGAACTAAAATCAATATACTTGACCGTCAGGTGCCGCCCTGACAAAAGCATCCCTGTGTAGCGTGGCCAAGTAACAGGAATAATTTAGATTTAATATTGAATTTTTAAGCATTCAAATTTAATGCAAACGAGAACGTGTGAGTCGCTTCTGGGGACGCGACTCTACTTTTATACCCGTGCTCAGTCAGTATATACATTTTTGAGCTTATGATTTATGTAGAATTCAAATCTGAGATACCAGGCAAACAGAAATCAGCAGAAAATCTGTCATTTGAGCGTTTGAAAGTGGAGGCAGAAAATGAGAGAAATTAGAACGAAAAAACAACTCAAAATTAATTTCTGCATTCTGGCTATAGTGTGGATCCGATCTGATTCAGATTCGGCAATCTGGTAGATATGGGCATTCTCTACGATACTGCGTTTTTATACCCGTACTCAAAAAAGAGTTAAGGGGTATATTAGATTTGTGGTAAAAGTGGATGTGTGTAACGCAGAGAAGGAAACGTTTCCGACCCCATAAAATATATATTCTTGATCAGCATCAATAGCCGAGTCGATAGAGCCAGCTGTCTGTCCGCTTGTTTGACGCCTGGATCTAGAGACTATAAAAGCTAGAGGAACCAAATTTGGTTTCCAGACTCATGTGATATCACACTGCTACAAGTGTATTTCAAAATTTCGCCCCGCCCCCTTCCGCCCCCACAAAGAACGAAAATCTGTGGCAGGCACAGTTTTAAAAACACGATAAAACTAAAAACGCAGTATCGTAGAGAATGACCATATCTACCAGACTGCCGAATCTGAATCAGATCGGATCATAATTATAGCCAGAATGAAGAAATTAATTTTCAGTTGCTTCCCCTGCCCCCTCCTTCCAACGACAACGCAACTCATTTTCCTTCTCGCTCGCACACTCTGCCGCGTTCAGTGCGCGAGCAACCCCTAGCGGAGGAGATGTAGAATATGAATGGTACATCTAGAATCTACATGTTAGATGTAAAATATACATTGTATATGTAGATGTAGATAGCAGATGTAGCAAAAAAATGTAAAATGTAAAATTTTTTTTTTTTTCTAAAATTCTAAAAAATCATAAGCTCAATAATGTATATACTGACTGAGTACGGGTATAAGTAGAGTCGTGTCCCCAGAAACGACTCACACGTTCCTTCTCGTTAGTTTTATCGTATCGCTAAAATTGTGCCTGCCACAGATTTTCGTCCTTTGTGGTGGCGGGGCGACATTTTGAAATGCACTTGTAGCAGTGGGATATCACATGAGTCTAGAAACCAAATTTGGTTTCCCTAGCTCTTATAGTCTCTGAGATCCAGGCGACAAACAAGACGAACGGACGGACAGACGAACAGACGGACATGGCCATATCAACTCGGTTGTTGATGCTGATCAATAATATATATACTTTATGGGGTCGGAAACGTTTCCATCTGTGCGTTACACACATCCACTTTTACCACAAATCTAATATACCCCTTAACTCTTTTTTGAGTACGGGTATTAAAATCAGCTCGCTCTTTTAACTTGATTAAATTATCGAATAAAATGATTTATTTATTCATTAAAAATGCTATCTATCATTGGTCGAATTGGTCTGAAAATCGGAGAGGCTGAACTATTTCATGGGAAAACTATAATCCTTTCCTATAATCGAATCGCGCGTCTTCGCCTCTTACGCTTTCCCACAATGGAGGGGCCGACACCCACTCCGACCCCCAGCCCCGGAACTGGGGCGAGCTGAAACAGCAGCGGATTGTTGATCAGAGCTGCTGCTATGCCCAAGACCGTGGCACTGGCCAGCGGAATGAGGAAGCTCTTGGCCAGCAGTGCCTTCGGTGAGATTTCCGGCGATCCCTTGTGCGCGACAATCTCGTGAGAGTCGATGGGATACGAGCTGTAGCTGTACTCCACACCTGGTCCCGCATAGTGTCCCGGCTCGGGTCGCGGCCTGTAGACGTGGTATGGCGGTCCTCCCGCCTCGACACTGGAGCCGTATCCGTGGCCGGGCACTGGTGGTCCCTGCTCGTAGCCGTGGCCAGGCAGAGCTCCCTGCTCGTAGCCGTGTGCGGGTCCTGCTGCGTAGTCGTACGGATAGGGATGTCCTTCATAAGCATAGCTTTTGCCTCCTGCTTCGCTTCCGCTGCTTCCGTACTGACCTACGGATTATGGAATGGATAGCTCTGAGGGGATCTTCACTTTACTTTCGGCTGAACTTACCCACGCCGATGCGATCCTGAAGCGGGCGACCGCCTCCCTGGCGCCACTTGTCGTAGGCCTCGCTGAGACTTTCTTTAAAGCCGCCAATCTTGGCTGCAGATTCTCCTCCTCCGCCGGGAGGAAGTGCACCAATCGACTTGGATATAAATCCAGCTGCAGTGCTGTCCAGCTTCTGCACTGAACCTGGTCCTCGATAGAACTCCGGCGGTGGATCGTAGCTCTTGGCTGCTGCGGCTGCTGCTGAGCCGCCCGAGTCCAGACTGACGCTGATCTGCCGCTTCTGTGGAGGCTTCAGCGGTGTCCAGGCGTCCGCTGTGGAGTTCTGCTTCTGCGCGACCACCGCAGACAGCCAGAGGCAGAGACACCAGCACAGGGAGAGGCAGAGGCTGGGTATGCCGGTGCGTAGATTCCGATTCGATGCAAACATTTCGACTGGGAACGCGGCCTGCAGCAGCAGCGTTTATAAGGGAGCTGGAGCTGGTGGCAGGTGGCAGGTGTCTCCCCCCAGTGTCATCATTTTGTGGCATTACAGAAGTGGCGACAAATTGCGGGCTGACGGCAATTTAGGGCCTGCGATTGTTGTCGCCGCTTCGCTGGCATTGGGATTGAGACGCGCGTCTGCCGTGGTGGCATGGGCCACGATTAGTGCCGCCAGCTTGGCAGTCGAGGGAGGCAGGTGGAGCGAGTTCTTTCTTCACTCTTTTCAACATCAGCGGGGCCTTTCATCAGCGGGTGCAACGGGCGTATAGTTGCCAATTTGTGCCCACTGCCAGTCCAGTCCCACTTGCTGCTCCCACTCATGGATTATTGAAATTAAATCATGAAGCAGCCGCCACCACTCGCACACAAATTAGGCAGTGGAATTGTTTGCGCCCTCGAGTTGCAGCTCAAGTTTAATTAAATCATTATTATTATTATTTTTTGATCGTAGACTCTCCAGGCTCAGGCCCAGGGGGAACGATCTGCGAGACTCTTCTGCAAGGTCAGTTTCTGATGCAATGTTTCAGCGGAGCTTTGTTTGCTGTTGGCAAGAGCTAACTATACAGTAGCTACGCTATTTTTATTCAGCTTTTACATTGTAAGCTATCTCTTTAGTTTTTCGGGAACACAGGCGTCTGAGGAGGAGGAAACAGCTCCACTTGGATCGACAGCAAGGGTAACAGCGCTGTTAACAGCCCAAGGCTCTGCGCCAACAGACTGTGGCCGCTGCCGTTTACAGCTCTCTGTTAGCGCTCTCTTTGGACCATCCTCAGCCATATCCTGAGCATTCACTTGCTTGCCAGCTTCCTTCAGCCACCCAAAGCCCCAAAGGAAAAATCCCAAATTTAATTGCAGTTTTGTTTTGGGTTTGAACGTATTTGCATTTCATATTTATAATTTATAATTGCCATTAAGTGGTAGTACTCGTATATGTTGTACTCGTATGTGTTTATGTATACTCAAGTGTATATGTATGTAAATATATGTATGTTTGTATATATGCACAATTCATTAACTAAGTTAACGGTCACTAAATTAAAGCGATATTCTTGCCAAAGATTCCTTTGTTGCGGTATACTGAGAGGATGCTAGGTGCTAAGGTTGATACTTGATATACTTTATAATAATACTGTCTGCATCTAAAATACAATCTGGAATAAGTATTATATATATATGTATATAGATTGTATGTATTTGTATCTGTCTGTTGCCGGCTTTCATACATTTTCGGAATTGACTTTCAGCTGCCTGGTTGGTAGCAGGAACCTCTAATTGGGGGGGGAACACACACACATATCGTATTTATTATTGGTTAGTTACAGGTTTGGGTTAGGTAAATGCCTCTGATTAGTATGGGAATAGTTTTGGACTGCTGCTGCTGCTGCTGCTGCTTAGTTGAGGGACGCTTGCATGGAACGCTTGCCCCAGCCGCCATGCAGCTTCTGCCACTGATCGCGCTTGCCCCACATGCCCTTCAGGTTGTTCCATGTGGGCTCGCGCTTGCCCCAAGCGCCTCTGAACTTATTCCAGCCCTGCGCCTGACGCCGCTTGCCCCAGGCCACGTTCATGCTCTTCCAGGCGCGCTTCTCCATGTTGCCAGCCGCCTCCGGATCTGCCTCCAGCATATCCTCGCCCGACTGCTGCTGCTGCTGCTGTTGCTGTTGCGGCGTCTGTGGCTGCATGTCCTGCAGGTCGCCGCTGGCCAGCCGCTCGAAGGTGTCCCAGTCGATGGTGTTGGTGCCATCGGTGATCACCAGCGGCACAAAGTGTCCGGTCATGTAGATGTTGTCGTCTCCTGCCTCCGGCACGTCTCCGCCACTCCTGCTCCGCTTGCCCCAGGAGCTCTGCAGCGACTGCCAGGCCCGCTTGTTGTTGTTGTTGTTGTACAGCTCGCTGTCGTCGTTCAGTTGGTCCAGCACCTGCTCGGAGAGGCCGTTGCTGGCGGTGCTGCTGCTGCTGCTGCTGCCAGTGGCCAGGCTGCTGCAGGCGCTGCCCAGGAGCAACACAACCAGCAGCAACAGGCGGCTCTGGGTCTTTGTCTTTGTGGTTGTCTTCGCTTGGTCCATTCTCACTGTGGAAATTATGAAACGAAAAAGCAAAGAATATGGAAATGTAAATGAAACAGAGACTGAGAGACTGAGAGCTGTGAGCTGTGAGCTGATGAGGCCTGCGGGCTGCAGCCGCAGCCGCAGCGCCTCGAGGGGGAATGCTCAATTAAGTCAGAACCAACGCCACTCGACTGCTCCCTGGGGGTCCTGCGGAGCAATCGTTACTCCAACAAGACTGGCGAACAAGGGGGATGGGAAGGGGGGTCGGAACAGGGATAACGATTTAGCTAAATAACCTCTCTAATTGAAGGGCGGTGGGGGTGGCTCCGCTGGAGGTCGTAGGTCATGTCATGCCATGCCGCCTGTCGACCGCTGCGTTAAAAGGCAACAGCGCATAACAGTTACAATTTATGGCCTATTAATGTCCTGCTGCCGAGGTAGCAACCAGCAGGAGGCCGCATTCCGCATGGAAGGGAATCAACGAATGTTTGCTGGCAGCGGAATGATTGGAGGGATACACAGTGCCGCAGTAATCCTACGCACTTCCCAGCTCAGCTCTGCTCTCTCCACGCTCTCCACTCCATGCCGTTCGTTGCTGATTTTAGCCAACGAGCAGCAAGCGGAGCCTGATGGAAGGCTGATGGCCATTAGAAGGCGATAATGATGCTTTTTTAAAGGTTAATATGCCGGCTCATAGTCAAGATTATGGCTTTGTTTGGCCAACGGCGTAAGTGGCTTGCGATTGCACTTGCGGCCACTGAAAAGACTTCAAAGACTCCAGGACTGCGACTGGAACTGGCAGCAGGAAGTGGCAGCATCAGTGGGCGCTGATATTTGTTTGCACTTCCAGCCAAAGTAGTTTTTGCTATGCGCTCGCATGTGCTGCATAACCAAGCACATGGATTAGCATACATGCGCCACACAACACAGACTATAAGTACTTAAAAGCAGGCTAAGTCCCTGTGCTACTTATGGAAAATAAAGGCGGAACAGCAGGAAAATCTTTGCCCGCAAACCCATCGCTGGAAATGCGTTGCCTATCTATATAGATTCCTATATATTCTACAACTAAATTGTCGCCCTATCTTCATTTATAATGCCCCATTTATGGTAATCCTTCTGCCCGTTGCATAGGGGTCAGAGCGGCGCATGCCACCGCAGCTGTTAGGCGCCAGCCTGGAAAGTCATCTCCATGGTATCAACTCTTCAAAGTCCAGCACAAGGCAGCGTCAGGCACAGGGCGGAGGAGCGCGTCAATCAGCATGGAAAGTCGCATCGTATCTTATCTGTGTGGGGTCGCCTGATTAAATGATGTTGTTCGTTGTCCGCTTGGATTGGCCAACTAATTGAGAGGCGTTGGCGGAAGGGCCAGCTGGAACTGGAGCTGCTAACTCCCGACCACCGACCACCGACCACCGACTCCTGACTGATGATGGTCCGAGTGTGAAGCCAACTCTGGGTTAGATTGGACTTAATTTGTGCGCTTGTCGTTGATTGATTGACGCCGACCCAGATGAAAGTTTTAGCGGCTTTGCCTCAAATTATAATATATAGAGCCCAACGTGATGATGGAGCACGCATCAAATTTTATGGCCACAATCAGCAGCGGTCGGGAGAGCCGGGAACCGGGAACCAAACCAAGAAAACTGCCACAAAACGTGCACAGGAGTCAAGTCGAATTGTAATTGAAATTAACTGAAAATATTTATGGCCTTTGCGGCTGACATTCTTGCGAATTTGTTAGTTGACTCGCACTCGCACTCCGAATCGCCTGTGAGTCCTTGTACATTATTAATTTGCCTGCCTGCCTGCCTGCCTACTTGAGAATAATTCATGTGGTGTCAGGGGCAACGGCAACGCCAACCAAATTCCTCTAAAGAGGACACTCTTGAGCCACATCCTTTTGTGAAGTTTGCTGGGCAAACAAATTGAAAAGAAATTTTCGCGCCAAAATTAAACAACTTTGGTGGAAATCGAATTTGCCAGGTTCCTTCGCTCTCTCGCTCTCTCTCGTCTATTCATGGTGTGTCGTCTGCTCGATAAATAGCCTGGGCAAATATTTGCCAAAGGATGGCATTTGCCTATAAGTATTTTGTTTAAATAGGTCTCACGCGGGCAACCAGCACCCACCCACGTGGCAGAAGCCCATTGGCCACTGCCTGTTGCCTGTCCCTATAAAAAGAGTGCAAATGGAAGGAAATCTTCATTGGGGGAATCTTCAGACTCCATGGGACTTAGGGGACGGACATTAACGAAAATGCGTAAATCAACAGAATATCCGCAAATGTGCAAATAAAATGTCTCGTCTCAAGCAGACTGGGGCTACTTGGCCCAGACCCCAGACCACCTCCCCTAACCCTCTCGACCCACGTTCGATTCTGTTTTAATGCACAGCAGAGTTCTTTCTCTGCTGCATAATTCAGTGGTATTTTTTTTGCATCAAAATTTAGGCCGCTAAGCCGACGAAGGGGTTTCAAGCCAGCCCCAAAAAATGTGGGATAACATTTTAATTAATTTAGTTCCGGCAGAACTCTGTGAAGTATTGGCTATGGAGGTACATATTAGCGGATTGGAGTTTACTGATTATTGAATTATTATTTAATTCATGCACAACAAATTAATCGAAATTCGAGTTTTATTTGTTAAGTAATTAAAACTGAAAATTGAATTAAATATATGTAACATATCTGGAGGGAATTAAGTTCAAATACCGAAATACTTAAATATGAAGAAATGGCATCGAGATGCTGGGATCAGGGGCAGGGTGGCGATGCCTCATTTTAATATTTCTTGCAAATTTTTGGCTGCATTTTCAGAAGTATATTTTGCTGGATTGAAAATGTCCCAACACTTAAGATACATACATATATATGTATGTATGTATGTTCACTATTGCATATTACAATGCTCAAATTACCATTATATATTATTTTCTGTTTATAGAAAAAAACGCGTAATAATTGCACTAAGTTTCAGCCTGCTGAAATTTATAATTTTAAGGAGCAAAGTTTGCTTTTTAGACAGTCTTTTAATTTCTACAATTTTTGGGTTTTTGTAAAAAAAAAAGTATTTAAAAGAGATCTAAAAATATCTGCGGAATTCTATTAAGCCCCGTGAAAGAAACATTTTGTAATAATATTAATTTTAATTATCAAAAATTAAGTTTTCAATTATATTTTCAGCGCAACAAGTTCTGAATTTTTATAACTCAATTTTCCGTTTGTGGGAAACCAATAGAGGCAGAGTCGGGGGGTGCCTGCCACAATTGGATTAGAACCACTCGCTGCCTCCTACGTATATTGAATATTGAATACTTTTTCCAAACCACTCACCCGAGTATATTTTTGCACTATTTTTGTTGTTTTATTCGAAATCAGAGAACGGGCTCGCTCTTCCGTTGGGCTCTGCGGTCTGCGGTCAGTCGATTTATCCTTGATTGGATTCCCTTCTCCTGATATTGGTTCGCTGCTTTATAATAGTTTTTTCCACATGAAAATTACTTTTATAAGTGGATTTGTGGGTCCACCTGGAACTCAATTAGCGGACACTTGCACCGCGCCTGAGTGGGTGGGTGGGCAGAAGGATTGAACGGTCAGTGGTACAGTTACAGTACAGAGTACAGTTGGGAGCCCTGTCCTGTCTGTGGGGTCCTGCGTGTGCGTAAACCTGTTGATCGACTGCTAATGATACGCAGCACGGCGCAGCAGTCGCTTATAAATCAAAAACGGAAGCGATTCGCGGCCCGAACGTCCACCCGGCAATATGGCCCGAATCGAATCGGACTTCGTGTGCCCACACAACAATAACAACAACAACAACTAGAGGGCTCTTCTCCACCTCGCTGCGCACGCACAAACACACACACACACACGCACACACACATTCAGGCAATGATGGGTGGCAGGATGTCCTGGATGCCTGTCCTCCATTGTAGTCCTCCATTGCTGCTGCATGCAACGGAAGTTGTGGCTGGGGAGGGGGCCAGTATTGGTCCTGGCTGTTGTAGTTCCTTGAGTTGATGGCACACATGCGCGGCCCTACTACGTACAACTTTTGTTTATTCGTCCCGAACCCAAATGCGTTCCCGATCCCCCTGGGGAATTGGCCAGACTGTAGCCTGCGGCCAGGACTGGGACTGCTGCGTGGGCCCTTCCTCGGACTCATTCAAATTCAGGTACATGCTCCCGGTCGGGGCGCCGCCTACCGCCTACCGCCTTGAGGCATTTAAAATTAAACACAACACAACACGCTTACAATGAAGTGAAACCACTCAGCGAGCATATTGCATATTGCATTGCATTTCATTCAGTCAACGGGGCAGCAATTGACCGAACACAAATACAAATACAATTCTTTGCCGCTGCCATTCACCTTCGATTGGCAGTGCCATCGATGTGGGTGGGTGGAGCGAGCGCCACATGCTTCCAGCTAAGCATTCGAGTAAAAACCCTTTTAGTGCTTCATGAATATTTATGACGATATTGCGGGCACCTTGCACGAGGTCGTCGTCGTACGAGGCCCCGGCGCTTCGAAAAGAATCAAATAATCGAGAATGCGAATGAAAGGACACCTCTTAAAATGGCAGGACAGATAAAAGCTTCAAAGTCCCGCTTCAAATGGCTGGAAAATATATAGCAAATACAGCCAAAGGATTCTGAATGAACCGAAAGGCATGCTACGGGCATACATGGATATAGTGTACCCCCACGACTGATCAAGAACCTGCAAGACACTTTGCAGGTTCGAAAATGTTACATACTTTTACCCAAATGCAACAACCCCTGGTAACCCATAGCGGGTTAAAAAACACCAAGAAAAGAAGATAGAAAAAGCTTCTTCAATTACGAGAGCTGCTGAAGATGTCAACCTTTGCTCTATGGCTGTTTGGGTGCAGGTGTGACTGGGTGTGCGGACATCAACAGGTTTTCATTTGTGGCCATTTGATGGGTGCCCATGCCCGTGCCCCAGCCCCTGCCCATCCCCCAGCCCGTGTGCCCTGCCAGCAATGCCTATACTCGTAAACGATGATGGGAATATTTATGACACTGCTCTGCCGGTGCGTATAATGAATGGGTTATGGGGTATAAGAGCCACCCAACCACCCCAACGATAAGCTACGTAGCTACTAATTGATTTTGCCACTGATAAATCGCTGCCAAGTCGGACAGGTGGCACTCGTAGTGGTTGCTGCTACATGTGTTTGCTGGCTCCTCTGGGAGTGCAGCAGCAGCAACAGCAGCAGCAGCAACTGATGATTGTAAATCATTTCCTGTTTATGTGTCTGGCCTAATTGCAGCCATTAGCAGGCGACCTTTATACCACTGAGCGATCCATTTGGATGCGTCACTGAATGATGCCATATCTGCCATGTTCGGGTACTGTTGGCCTTTAAAGAGGAACGGAACCCCACGAGAATGTGAAATTGCATTGAAGACATGCCTTGACCAAGTCACACTCCCCCCATGACCGCCCGCGGCAAATGCCTTTCTATTCAGAATGCGACATTTGTATAGGAATCCCTTGGTGGTTTCATTGCGAAGATGGAGTAGTGTAGTGGCCGCCTGCCCGCTGTGCTGTTGCCAGCTAATAATCATTTGTTTGCACTTTGCATGCGCCAGATGGCAACAAAAGGCCGAGCCGAGCCGGGCCGGGCCGTCTATAGATTCAGTTCTACATATAACTTGGCCACGAGCGTGCGAAGCCATGCATGGATGTGGCCATTACAAGCCATCATTTAAATATGTCATTAAAGATGTAAGCTCCCCTTAAAGTTATGTACTTTTTGTAGCCACTAGCACTTTCAGCACCAAGTCATTTAAATTCAAATTCAAAAACCTACAATCTGGCGGCATATCGCTCCATGACAAATGGCGGGCGCTACGACATAAATAGTTCCTGAACTGTGAACTAGTTCGTTTAGTTCGTTATTAATCGCCATATATATCGTCATTGATCGCCATTCTCGGTACTAGCCCGCCAGATTTGAGTTCTGGCAAAGGAAGGAAATATTCAAGAAAAGATTATTAAAAAATCTCGAAATATAATGTAGACATTGGCTTAAAATTAATTTTAAGCTTGAAAAATGTATTACGAGTAATTTTTATTATTAAAGTTTTTTGAATGGTCATCCCTTCGGTTTTGATGAGTTTTGAATTTATGTTCATAAAATTTACATAGATGGCGGCTTCGCCCGCTGTTAGCTTCGTAATGTTCTTTAAAGTTTTTCTTTGGCTATTTCTGGCTATTTCCAGTGTCAGTTGTCGGCCGCCCAGTTTAGGGTATATTAATTAAAGGTAATAGGGTATACAAAGTGCCATATGCATAGCAGAAATTTGGTTGACCAGCAACAATGACGTCACATTTAGTCAACATTTACGTTTTATGCTTTGGCCGTTTTTGTTTGAACCTTAATATGTAAGCAATCCAATGAAAAAGAGTTCTAAAAACTAGCCAATCCTAAACAAAATTCATTGAGGAACTGGATAAAATTATTTGTTTACGGCTGAGAGGGCCAACTAGCTAGTAATATCAAACTGAATATCAAAATCGAGGAATATCATGTGACAAAATATCATGGTATGGCAGCCCGCAGCAACTACGAATTGCACGAGTCTGGCAGCGCCACAAAACGACGTCACATTCGTTTTATGTTGATTTTGTTTGAACCTTAATATGTAAATAATCCAATAAAAAGGACGTCTGGAAACTTGCCAATCTTGTAGAAAATTTATGTATCTATCGGATTAAATTATTTTTTTAGGGCTGAGAGTCCCAGCTAGCTAGTATTATTAAGCGGAATATCAAAATTATGGAATACGATTTCAACCAGGGGGGTATTTAATATTTCCATTTATGTAATTTAACATATTTTAGGCATTACAGGTGAAAGATGTCGGTGGTAATTTTTGTCTTGTACGTAAAGAGAAGGGTGGAGCTACAGGGAGCCTTTACAAATTGTATTATTTTCAGCGGTTTAACAAAGATGGCTCAACTTTTTAAATAGCGGGGTGTTAAGTGGGTTAAGTTCAAAATTACCGCCAAACTCATTTAGCGCACAAAAAATACTGACATTTTTCGCTCTCAATTCGTGGTGGTTTTTCAAAATTTGCTCTCTTTTCAGAGGTGGAGAGAGCGTTTTCGTGGTGACTTTTCGTGGTGTGAGAAACACGTATGGAATGAAGATTCATTGTTGCGTCATTCCATACGCGTTCCCGTAAGATACATTTAATTTGTATGGGAAAAAATTCAGCAACATGTGGAAATGAATTAGCAGCATTGTCCTGCAACCTTGGATCGGAATGAGCAACAATCTACATACCTTGTGAAAATGGATATTATAGAATAGAGATATTGTTGGTAATTTCATGCTCCAATTAATACAGAAACTACTCAGTCTCTGTTTTAAAGTTATTAACGAAATTTTGCAGCTCACGGGTACAAATAATAGGTATCAGAACCGGGATAAATATATTTATAAAACACAAAACATATGCATTAATGGGTAAAAAACATCTCAATCTAAGAAAACTGCATTATTAATGTTTCAATGGAGCTTGGAACAATAAATTTAACACCAATTAAAGAAAATACGGTATACAAAGTGCCATATGCATAGCAGAAACCTGGTTGACCAGCAACACTGACGTCATATTTAGTCAACATTTACGTTTTATGCTTTGGCCGCTTTTGTTTGAACCTTTTCATGGAATCAATGCAATAAAAAGGACTTCTGGAAACTTGCCAATCTTGTAGAAAATTTTTGTATCTATCTGATAAAATGATATTTTTGGTCTTTAAGGTTCTAACTAGTTAGTAATATTAAACCGAACATCAAAATCGAGGAATATCAAAGTGTCCGTCAGTATATTTACGGTATATTTTGATATTGACAAGGTATATTTCGGTATATTTCCGAGGGTCAGGCGGTATATTTTAAAGATAAATCCGCGGTCACACTGCACGCCACTCACTGATTTAAAAAAAAAAATATAAAAAAAAATTTAAATTGAGGGTGGTCTAATTATAAATTTTAACAAATTGCACGGTCAATATTGCAGAATTAAAAATATACACTCAATTTAGGAAGCAAAACGCCAGCCAACAAAGAGCTGAAATAACCCGCGAATCATCCGCAGTAGTACTATTTTGAAATGCGGCCGGCTTATAAAATGCAAATTAAACATGAAATAAGAGTTTTACCGTGATAAAAAGGCCTCGAAATGGAAGTAATTTTACCCCTGGAACTGCACAATGGCCAAAAGTTTCTTGACTGTGCCTCAAAACTGGAATACGATGAGTTTTCAGCGGTAAGTCTCAGCCCAGCCACGCCGTCGACCATTGCTTAACCTCCCCCCTCTTCGGCATTATTTGTAGAAAATGTTTGTGTTTTGCACTGAAAGCAGCGATGTGGATGTGTTTGAGCTGATGGGGAACCAGCGATTGATGCAATTGATTTACGGCTGGGAGGTCTGCCAGCTGCCCAATATCGATGGCGTGCCGGAGGACTCGTTGCGTCATGTTGTCCAGGTGCAGGCGCACCACTCGCTGCACTTGTTGTTCAGCCAGGAATGGATGAGCTGTTCGGAGGGACTTAAACGCATGCTGCTCTACTACCTGAACAAGGCGACGTCATCGTTTGCCCAGATTGAGGAGCTCTCCAAAATCGATTGGCCATATATACTCAAGTTTCAGGGCAGACCCTGGCGCGTGCCCTATCTGCAGCAGCTGTTTGCCAACCTGCGACAGAACAAGCATCATACCATTGAGCATTCAGTGCTGGCTGCCACGCATGAAGGTGCGTAGGCGACTGCTCCATGTTGGAGGTTTTTACTGATTGCCTTCTTTTCTTTTGTCCTGCAGATGTCACGTTCCTGCAGCAGGAGAAGCTAAACCTGATACTGCTGCGACTTATACAGCTCTTCAATGCGGGCAACTTTGAGGCACTGAAGCAGCTCTCCCTCAGGGTTCTGGCAGCTTGGCTCAACTGCAATGCCGATGCCAGTTTTGAATCGCTGGCACATGACCAGACGGCCATAACATTGGTGGGACACCTCTATCTATTGACAATATTCGTTATGGACGAGAATCGGGGCTATGCGATCGACAACATGGTGAGTGGGGGGACATGCTGCGCCTTCTATGTGACTCATATTTGATCGATGATCCCCTCCACAGATGTACAACATACGTTTCTATGCTCTGAGCATGCAAGAGGCTCCAGCTGCGGAGAGCATCAACTTTACGCCTGCCCGTCTCATCGCCCAGGTGTGTGTTCGCTTGAGGCTAAGCAAAAGCGGCTTCTTCGAGCAGATTGTGTTCAAGAAGTTCAAGCTGAATCTGGTCACCTCGTTCGCCGTCATGCTGGAGGCCTACACGAGCTATGTGCTGGGCAATCAGTTGCTGGAGCTGATGGCCCTAAACGAGCACGATTTCCTGACGCACTTGCCCCACTTCAGGGTGCTAATGTACCGCTATGTGGAGGAGCGGGAGAACAGCGAGACCTTTCTGCTGAACGAGCTGCAAAAGCTCGAGTCTCAGCGGAACAGCCACGCCAAGCCGTACACCGTCAACTTGAATCTGAACTATCAGCAGCAGATCTGCAAGGGCAATCGTGCCAGCAATATTGGCAACTACAAGAACTGCGATGATGATGAGAAGCCCCAGGCAGATGTCGACGAGGAGATGGATCGCCAAATAGATCCCGTCTTTCAAAACGTACCCAACAACGAGGAGGTCCTAGACTTTGTCTACAAACTGTTGGCAGAGCGGGTAAGTCGCCAGATGAGTGGACCGACTCAAAGAACTCCCATTGATTGCTGAAATGTCTGTTCTTCCACAGGAATTTCCAGGCTGGCAGTTTGCCAAGATTGCTCTGCTGCTGAAGATAATTGGCCAGCAGCTGAATGCCATCGAAATTTGGCGCTATCATCCCGGCCTGACCACGGACTTTATGCTCAACTTGGAGCACAAGCTATCGAATAACTACGCGGATCTGGCCAAGGTGTTCAGTGATCATGGCTTCATGGAGGCGGAGTTCTGGCTGACGGCCTTCTATCTGCATCCGACAGCAAATAACTACAACGAAGTGAAGCGCTGCTCACGCATCAAGAAGAAGCGCTTCATTGATGATGAGTGGGCCGCAGCCGAAACGGGGCCCGGTGCTGGCGGCACCACACAAAATGCCTTCAGCATCAAATACGAGCTGCTTAGCTCTACGATTGATGTCGATGAAATCGTTACCATAACCAATCACAATGCCCCCGTGGGAGACTACGAGCCCATCTACAAGGCCCTGCAGGCGCTGCGACTGCCGCGCAGCTTCATAAAGGATCTGCTGACGGTGATCTTTCAGCCGCGCAACAAGCGCTATTCGTGGGCCCTGGAGTGGTCCACCCTGCACGAGCGCTGCAACGCGCTGCTGAAGAGCAAGGATCTGAAGAATAAGTTCGTGGCGCTCAACATGGCCGAGGCAAACGATCGCTTGGAGTTCCTAACAATTGACTATGCCAAGTACAAGGATCGGCCGCAGCTGGACTATGGCACCATTGAGGAGGGCTACGAGAATGCGGCCAACCTGGCCGAAGCGGAGGCTGAGGTGAGCGCGGATGAGAAGGAAGAGGAGCCGAAGCAGCCAAAGAAGCGAAAACCGCCGCGAAAATTTTGGGATGAAGGTAGGCCAAAGCCCAGTTTTTTGATTATCCAGAATAAACGTGTCCTTTTTTTCTTTAGTGATCTCCGAAGATGAGGACGAGGAGGAGGTAGCCTCAGACGAGTCGGAAGCCTATTACACGGGCACTGGCCGTAGGACACGCATTCGAGCTGCTGCTATGGTTGCCAATGCCATGCTCTCAGACATGGATCGGAGCATGCGAAGTGGTCGCCGATCGCCGCCCACCACCAGCTCGGCTGCCCATTCCGAACCAGAAGAAGAGTCCCAGACTGAGCGGGAGCGCGAGCCTGAGCCCATGGCCGAGTCCGTGTCCGAGCCGGCAAAGTCCCCATCCCCAGAAGCGGCGATGAATCCGGAGAAGCGGTCATTCGGCGATCTGCTGGATACCCGTACAAAGTTCAGCAACGAAACGAGCGGCTTCAAGGCCTTTGCCGACATCTGGAGCTTCGAAAAGGAGGAGCTTCAGGATGTGGCCAGCGACAGCAATGGCCTGAGAGAATGCAGCTCGGTACTAAGTAAATTCAAGAGCTGGCAAACCCTAAGAGACACTGCACCAGCGACCACAAAAGACGAGGATGCGGCGCCACGAGAAACGAAGACGCGCGGCTTGTCGGAAACTGACAGCGTGAATTCGGAGACTTCAACGATGGCCATGCACGACTCCACCGAGGAGCCCTGCGACAATTTGTCTGGTGTAAGTAAAGAGTTAACGCCTCCGCCGGCCACATCGTCTGATTTTAATATGGAGACAGGCGTGTTGCAGCCCGATGAAAAAGAGAAGGAGACGAGCCAGGAGACGGGGACAGCAGCAGTGCAGGAAGTAGACGAAGCGAGGACGACGCCGCAGTCAGATCTCCCACAAGAAATTAATACTCAGGTACATCAAAACAAGCGCTTCAAAACCTCACCAAGCTCCAAAACAAGCAGCCACGCAGCAGACCCAGCAGGCAGCACCCATCCACAAGAGATCTACGACAACGCCGACTTAACCCAACGCCTAATCAAAGAGTGTCTGACACGCAAGGCCGAAGTGCGCTTAAATCGTCTTAGTCTCCGGGACTTGAAGCAGATGCGTGAATGCCGAGTTCGGATCAAGCGCACCGACTTTGTCTCCTACTTCCAGGAGCAGGAGAAACCGCAAAAGAAACGAAGAAAGCCGGGACCAGGCAGGCAGAGTCACAGCCACAGCCACAGCCATTCCATCACCATCACCGACAGCAATGCGTCAACGCCAACGCCAACAAACGAAATGCAGAAAAGCGAAAAGAAACGCTTTAAGAAATTTGTGCATATTACGTCCGACTCGCCGGGAACGTCATCGTCCGTGATGATGGCCAAAAAGATCTTCAGACACATAACCTCCGATTCGTCAACGGATATGGAAGAGGTTCATCCGCCAGCACCGCTAAATCGCAAACGAAGCAGCCGTGGCGGTCGTGGGGCCCGAGGTAACATGAGGGTCAAGGGTCTCCAAGTGCGAATCTGCCGGCAAGTACCCTCAGACAGAGTCTCCTGTTCGCCGGATGTGATTGAGTTGTCCTCGGACTCACACTCCTCGTCCACGTCGCAGCCGCGCACTAGCCAAGCAAACGTTCACTTCTCTCACGTCCTGGAACTGGATCCGCTGTACGAGGAGGAAATTGTTCCATTCTGACGACGCTGAAGGGACGAGCAGCATTCGCCCTGCACTAGCCTGAGGCGAGGCTCTACGTGTTCGGAACGAATGCAAGCGAGGGGTTGCACATCGGGAACTGTGGCACAGCCGGGAAAATTGAATTTGTTTCGCTTGTTAGAATGCAATTGGCCTGGGGCATATTTCGTATTGGCTCTGCCCTGGATTTGATTTGAAATTTTATGTGGTACGTACATCTGTTTGTCCTCTTTCGACTGTGACGACGACGACGACAGGGCTTGCAGGCTCGTAAAAAAAACTCTTCAGCAACGTGCAGCCGCCTCTCAATTAACAGCCTAATTGATATGCATTGTGGTTCTCGATAAAAACGAATTAGCCACACGCGTCGGAGGAGCACTTGAGCTGGTCAGGCATATCAACAACAACTATCGGTGGAAAAGGAGTCGGCGGGAGACACGTGTCGGCTACTGTGTGATTTTGTGTGGCAATATATTCTCAGTTAGGGATGATGTTTGATGGCATTGCAGCAGCAGCTGGGAACGCTTGTGTGTGTGTGTGTGTTTATGTAGTGTCTAAAAGAATGGCAAGATCGAAAGAAATATAAACAGTTAGCTAGGCTTAAGGATTACCATCGATTTATGTACAATACACAAAATTACGATTATTTAAATATTACTTTTGAGAGTTGAATTCGCTTTGGTTTATATTTTTAATTAAGTAGAATTAAGCAACAATTATGCCATGCACATATGGAAATAAGTTAAGCATCAGTTTGACTGAGTTACAATTCCTTCTCTACCTATTCCGTTTTCTTATTCTTATTTGTTGTATGTATTTTTTGCCATATGAATATGAAATGTAGGTACATTTATCATCTATTGTTTTAAGCATAAACTTAATTATAAAAACATTAAAATAAAACATTTTTTAGTGCGAATACAAAGTGTTTTTCATCTGCTGCGCACAACCCGAAGTTCAAACGAAATACATTGGATTTTTCTCCATCAACTGTGGCACAATTAAACGCTTTTCATACAACTCCCTGGGAGAAAGGAACTTTTTGATGCTGCAAGGAAAAAGCCTCATAGAAATAAACGACTCGAAGACGGGACGGGACGGGACGGGACGAATCTAATACGCACCCAGTCAGATAGACTCGGCCACGGGCGGCAACTAAATGGGCGAGATATGCCGGAGCCGGATACGAGACGGCGCGGTTGCAGCGCGGAAACAAGTGGCATAGATTGTATGTCAATTGCTGTATGAGATCAATATCCAGGTTGCCCGTATTCTCAATCACATTGTAACGCGTCGGCCTGGCCGTGCCCTGAATGGCCTGATGGCTGACCAGAAAGAACTGCATCTCATTCGGATGGACAATGATCGTATCCACGACGGTGCCCGGTTCCACATTGTTGAACTTATCGTACGTGGACGGAGTGCCAGAGGGGAAGAAGCGCGTGTGATGCCGCTTAACAGCAACAATGCAGCAGATCTTGGGATTAATGTGCATCTGCAAGGAGGGGTTAGAATGGAGTGGAGTGGAATGGTCTCAGATTACCTTGCAGCAGGCCGCCGTGATTCCCTTCAACTCTTCGTTCTTGATCTTGGGAAACTGACCATCGCTGACCCCATCGCGATAGTAGACAATGTGATCGGGATAGCGTTTGCGGTGCTGATGAAACACACGCAAATGCTCACTAGTTATCGACTCCATGTCCTCGATCTCCTCCAGGTCAGAGCGTTGTAGGCGATATTGCATGTTATACGACGCGCCGTACGGATCATGGGAGGCTGCCACACCCACAACGCTGGGTATCTCGCGCTGATCGGGCGATGGATGCGTGACGTCGGCACCCAGAAACATGACATTCTCCAGCTGAGTGCGCGGGTTATCCTGCAGCTTGTGATTGATTCCGTTCAGCTTGGAGTTCACCTTGAGCAGAAGGTTCAACACACACTGGGGGCTCAATTTACGCTGCACTGTGAACTGCTTGATGCACTGCGTCAGGATGCCGTGCTGCAGCTCAGCCTTTTGCTTCACCATATCGTAGGTGGTGCCGAAATTCGGTATGATAACGAAAACCAAATCACACTGGTTCCGTTTGAATTCCAGAAATAGATTATCCAGATCACGCTCACCCTTGTACGACCGTATGTCAGCCTTCCTCTCCAGGCACACACTGAGCCAGGCACTCTGCTGCAGGACCTGCAGGGAAGCGACAACATTCAGATCTATTCCGACTAGCCGCAGCAGCTCAGCAAACTCACGTGTTCTTTGAAATCTTCCACCTGATTGTACATCATCTGGCCACCATAAATGATGGCCCATTTGTGATCGTTCGGCTTGGTAGCGTAGAATTTCGCACGCTCCATGCACCACGCACCGTTCTTCACGGACAGCAAACAGTTGCCCTTGTACTCCACCATCGGCGCTTCGAGCAGCCGTGTGTCCACCGTGATGAAATCGCTCTCCAGGCGAATGCCGAAGCGTGCGATGGTGGGGTCCAAATTGTGCTTGAAAAATGAAAGCATGTGCATAATCTTGGCTCTCCGCTGATTGGTGGATGTGGCCGCATATTTAATCATGGCCGCCACCTGAGCTACCGGATCTTTGCGCTGCAATAAGAACACACACACACACACACACATACAAGAATGAACAATCCAGGCAGCTGTTGCACTCACATTCAGGAGCTGGGCATCTTCGATGGCACACAGTTCCATGGGCAAGTAAATTTCCTTCAAGGCCGAGCCCACACGCAGGCAGAGCAGATTCGGAAACTGCAAAGTGTAACTGCAAGATGCGAAATACGCCTCCACGGTCGTCCTTTTCCCCTCCAGATCGAAGGTTTGCTTGCTGGCCGGAAATTCGCTCAGGCCGACGACTTTAAAGACACTCGTGGGTTTCTCAAAGCTCACTGGGGGCTTGTAAATGACCTTGATGCCCCGCAGAAAGGCATCGATATCTTGGCGCTTGAGCTCAAGATTTGTTTTCTTGTCAATTTCCTCGCCATGATACCGCTCAATGTACTCCATGACGGATGTGGGCAGCGCAAATGACTTGTGGCAAATGTCCACATTGACAAACGGCCGATCCCCAAGGACGACCGACTGATAGAGGCCGATCAGAGCCTCGTAGCCCTCGCCAATATTATGCTCTTTGCCCGGCTCAGAGCGCTTGAAGAAGGAGCGACCCGCGCGTATAGCAGTGCTATGACAGGGCGAGGCCAAAACAACCTCCAGCACCTGCATGGCGCGCATGGTCTTATGGGCGTAAATCTTGTCCTTGATATAGCTGCAAAAATGGGGAAATTTAATTGTAATTAATTAATCTGTAATCGTAACTGGCTCAGCATCACTCACCTCTGCAGAGAGCTCATGTCTACTTCCAGCTCCTCTGTCTCCTTTAGTTGCAGAGTGTAGTTCAGGACACGACCGAGTCGATCGATCACCTGGGTGGAGCAGAAAACAAATCTTATTCGTTGGATAGGATATTGGATATTTATTACTTACCCGCACTTTGGCGTCTTGCGACTTGCAAACTATTTTGTCCGCCGTGTAGCAGGAGAAGCGGCCATCGTAGGCGGCAATCGCACCGCCCAAATGTTCCACTCTGAACAGCTCAAAGGCGTGACGATAGAACTTCTTGGGGCGCTTGGGTGAGATCCTCACATCGTAGTGATAGGCAACCGCCGGCATTTTATCCAAGTTCACATCCAAATAATTGACAGCAGCCTGGCCAGGTCGCCCCAGGGTTCCACATTTTATGGGCACTCCTGGGAGAGGCGACAGCGGCAGTCCGTGTCCCTGGGCTCTTGGGGGCTGAGCTTGGGGGCGCTGGTCTTGCGTTTGGGGCGGACTATAGGTCTGGGCGCCTCCTTGGCCTTGTGGTTGACTGTCGCCCTGTCCTCGCTCTTGTCCAACCTGCTGTTGTCCACTCTTTTGTTGTTGCTGCTGCTGTTGTTGTGTAGGAGCGCGGCATTGCGTGCGCTGCTTATGTCCGCCCCAGCCTTGCCCGGCCTGCGTGCGCTTCTTCTGACTGCACTGTGTCTGCCATTCTTCCTGCTGCTGCTTCTGAGATGCCGCGGCGGCAGGACCTGCATTCGGAGGGCTACTGCGCATGGGCATGTCCCCGGCGGCCTGTGCTGAACTCTGCTGGCCAACAGCAACATCAGCTATAGAATTGGGAGAGGAAGAGTTTTGACAAGGTTCGATACAAATCTCAAGAAATTAAATGCACAAACTATTTGGCGGTCGGATGCGGCTATTTCGTATTTGAATTTGAAAGTTTTATTCTTATCGAAGCAACAAATTGGAACATTATCAAGTAAGCCTTTGAATTAAATTTACAAATTGCAAAAATAACTAATTTAAAATGAAATCGCTTTTCATCGATGGATTTATGGATTCTTTGTTGGCCATTTTATGTGCACATTTGATCGAATTTAAGAAGACTTTCTCGCAGCTGTCCCCAAAGTTGTAACTACAGAAGAGCTATCCTTCAATTACCTGGTAGTTTATTCTGCTGAGGCTTAACGGGCTGTGGCTTGACGGCCTTTTGCTTCCTGGCTACTGGTCTCTCGGCTTGCGGCCTATATTCTGATCGGAGTAAATGGCATTTAATTGAATTACTTTCTCATTAATTTTTCACATTATTTCACTCACTATTTTTGTTCTTCATTTTTATTTTTTCCGACTTTCAGATCTATTCCCGACGTCTGAACTCTTTCGAATGACTGAAATATTTATTTACTGACAAACTTTATACTCTGCCTGAGTATGTTTGACATATAACTCGGTGAGTTGATCACTTAATCAATAAAACAATAAATTCTGCGATTCAATTACCAAATGAATTGCTCTGCATAACTTTTTCTTTAGTTTATTGAAGTGTATTTTTGATCCCTGGCACCAAATCGGTTCGTAACATTATTCCGCTTTAGTAGAATGCAAATATTACTTTGATGGGGCATAATTGATACCCATCCAGCCACAAGCCGCAGTGGCATATTGCTCAATTAGCACCCTTGACACTCTCTCGAGTTCTCCTCGCTCGTGCCAGTAATTTGCGACAATTGCCGCATATCATAACAGATCCGCACGTGTCAACGCCACTTGGAATCTGTTGGAAATCGCTGCCTGCAGACGCCTCCACTTAGTTGCTGCTTGCCCCACATTTCCATGTATATCTATGGCACACTCTGCCACTTGAGCAGCCGGTAAGACCGCGGCACGTGGCCAGGCCTTAGCGTTGTCCATGGAGGGTGTGAGAGTGGCAGTGGGAGTTTTTCGAAAGTGTCCTGGCCACGTGGCTCTAATTCGTTTAGCGACAGGCGTAAGCCCAAAGTGATTACTGCGGTTTACCCCACAAAAGCGAAAGAGTTGCGCGTAATTGAAACATTTTGAATGGCAATCGCATTAAGCCTGCGCAAGTTCAATGTTGTGATAAAATAAAATAGCAAAATTGCTTAGATATACCCTGCAAAACGTCAATGAACAGATATATTCGAGCTGTATATAGTTTGCCTCCACAAAGAGAGGCATAAGTTGGTCAATAGTCCGGTGAATATTGCTTAAATACTCCTTAAATATATTGCGTTAAATACTGCTCAAGTCAGTGTATTTTTGAGTGTCTGCTACATATACATATAAGCAATGTTTTATGCCCTGATAAAACACCGCATAAAACCTCTCGGACGGACATCTTCCTTTAAGAAATGTTTACCTCGTTATTGCAAGTCTCTCCCTGAAGTCATAACACCCCGTTCTGGTACCAGCGAGGGTATGCAGCCAGCCACCAGCCACCAGCCACCAGCAAATATTTGTTTGAACTTTGATGATGCCGTTGGCGTCACCTCGCTGATCCTCGCCAGCTCTGACATCCTTCCGATTGGCTTAGACCTTGCCGCTGGCCAGCAAAGCGTGAAAAATGCTCGTATTTTGACTGGCAGCGATAGCGATGCCCACCAAGCTATAACGAATCTCTACTCCGAGACTGTTTCCCCGTATACTGTCCATGCCAGAGTTTGTGTGTGTGTGCGTGTGTGTGTGTGTGTGTGTGTGGGCAAAAAGCAACCCCCTTAAGTGGGCTACAATCACGGCGGCGCGCATATCTTTTGGGATTTGTGTGTGTGCCATGGCGGCGCCGCCACGACCGACGACAATGCGCCGAGGGTTGTTGCCGTTGCCGTTGCCGCCTAGACCCAAATCAGCGGGCTTACCGCTTCCAGCGCGGGCATTAATGGCTGGCCCTGGAGCTCGCTCGCTCGCTCGCTCTCCGGTGCGGTGCATAAAACCGGTGCGCACTCCTTGCCAGCTTTTAGTTGGTGCGGGCACGCGAGACACAGAGAAACACCCAGGCGACACTGTCCCTGCTCAGAGAGTGAACAAACGCAAATCGGAAATCGCAAAAACGAACAACGGAATTGGGAGGCGTGTAATGTGCGTAGCTGGATACAGATACAGTTACAGATACAGGCCGAGGATATAATAGTGCATCGAGAACCGATCACCGATCAACGATCAACGATCACCGATCAACGATCATGGCTGCCTGCTATAATGCCTACAGTGCTGCCCCCCAGTCGTACGAGTTCGACGAGGACGATGACGATGCCTCCTTCGACAGCGGCTACGAGAAGAGCTTCGAGACGGAGGCGCAGCTCAGCTCGCGGCGGCGTTTGGATTTCGATGAGACGTACAAGAGTGCAGCGGCGGCGGCAGGGCCGGCGGCGCCTTTGGCCTATGCCGGCAGCTGGGACACAGCCCCGATCAACTCACCGCCGGCAGGATTCGTGGGCCTGCTGGACACGAGCAGCAACCACAGCACGCGCAGCGGCCGCACCCTGGTGGAGCACCTGAACAGCCGTGCCCCCGTCGGTGGCTTCGAGCCGCAGCTGACCAGCACGCCGATGAAGTCGCCGGAGGACCCGGATGCACCGCGGCCCAAGCGCAAATATGCCGTCGGCAAGAATCGCGTGACCCGTTCGCGCAGCCCCCACCAGGTGGTGCGCATCAAGAAGTTCCGCCGGATGAAGGCCAACGATCGGGAGCGCAACCGGATGCACAGCCTCAACGATGCGCTGGAGAAGCTGCGGGTGACGCTGCCCTCGCTGCCCGAGGAGACGAAGCTCACGAAGATCGAGATACTGCGCTTCGCCCACAACTACATCTTCGCCCTGGAGCAGGTGCTGGAGAGCGGGAACACCGTCAATCTGGATCTGGAGAAGCTGCAGAACTTCACGTTGAGTGGGGAGCGCATCACGAAGGAGTTGTTCGACGCCCTCTTCGTGAATCCGCAGCCATTCCCCATGTTTGGCTGCGGTCGGATGTTTCCATACGGCCACACGCAGCAGCAGCAGCAACAGCAGCCCAGCATCCCACTTTCCCATCCCCATCCTGAAGCACATCCAGATCTGCATCAACATGCTCATCCGCATCCCCATCCTCATCCCCATCCCCATCCGCATCCGCATCCGCATCATCCTCACCATCAGCCGCAGATGGTGCCATTCCAGACGGGCATGGAGTACCCTGCAGCAGCGCCTCATCCTCATCCCCATCCGCAGGATGCAGCGCCAACTGGGTTCGACTTTGGCAGCAGCATGCGGTACTATCAGCAGCATCCACAGCAGGAGCCGAGCCGGCAGCAGACGCCACCCGCTGGCCAGTTCTCGCAGGAGAAGTACGATCTGTTCCGTGGCAGCTTCGAGGCAGCTGCCAATCTGCCAGCCACGGAGCCAGCAATGCACCAGCAGAGCAGCTTCTACACGCAGACGCCGCCCTGGAAGGAGTACCCAGAGGAGCCACAGCTACAGCCACACACACACGCCCATCTGCAGCCACATCCACACAGCTATAAGCAGTTTGCCCCCCAGGTATAGCAGGGGAAAGGACTTGCGTCTTAGGTCGTTTCAGAGCGTGATAGATTGAGTTAAAGATTGTGTAGATTTGCAGACAACTGATCCATGGGAATTGTGGACTCTCGTGACTGACTTTGGGTAAACAAAAAAGCCAAAAAGTTACTCACGAGATTCATGCCAATATTTTGCATGCCTCACTTGCCTCGAAGCTGCCACAATCAGAGTTGATATTTGTAGTAGGCGAGCCACTGAATCGAATGCAAGGATCCACTAGAACTTTAGCAGATCCTTGCACTCAATTTGTGAGAGAGAGGGATCCGCAACAGAAGAATCAATGTGCCACAATCCATAGTTAAGCTCATGCCACACACCTTTACACTTCACTCTTCATTGGTTGCTTTGTTGTGGATCTCAGGGGAATATTTCAGCAAAGAATGCTGCAAAGGATAAGCATTCTTCTGCTCAAAATATTCCATGTTCCATATTCCATTAGCTATATAGTACAAATCGGTTGTCCATAGATAAACGACGAATATATGTACCTTTTGCCATTGTAGACATTAGCGTAATTAGGTATTAGATATCACCAGGAAACCAGTCAATAGCTGTACAATCGATGGACTATATACATGCATATATGGTAGGAAGGTTGGATGCAGTCAGTTATTGCAATGCAAGGAAAGCGAGCTAGTCAGGAGCTAAAACTTTATCGTGATAAGATTGAATTTCGATGTAAAAGCCACAAAGAACTATTTACTATTTTTGCTAATAAAGTTGACGATCAAAACGAACGAGCAGAACATTTTCTCAATAAACAATCCAAGAATCTGGAATCTCCTCCTGGCGAAGTCAAAAATAGTAGCCAAATCAAACAACCCCGTGACAGGGAGACAGGCAGAGGGGGAGAGATATTCTCTATATGTGTGCGGATTGGAGATTCCAAACAAAAGACTTAAATTCAAATAAATATTGTATATTGCAGTGCACATAAAATGAATGGTTTTCTGTACTGTTCTGTTCTGTTCTGTGTGCTGTGTGCTGTGTGTGCATTGCAGCTTGTTTTTACGAGTATACGTATATTGTAGGGGGCAGGGCATTTTTGCGCCCTTACAATTCGACATGGGGTGAGTTCAAGTAGAAACTCGGCTGAGGTCGGAACAATGCAAGATTTGCCCCGTCACCTGCCACAGAATTACAAAACGAATGTACCAACAGCAGCAGCAGCAGCAGCAGCAGCAGCAGCAGCAGCAGCAGCAGCAGAGTCATGGACTGGGGGTAGAGTCAGAACCGGCAGAGTACTGAAACATGAGACTGTAGTGGACCTGCATGAATGCCACTCAAATTATTTAGTTGAATGAACCGGCAAGAGTCGAGAGAAACCGGAGAGGAAAGGGAAAGGAGAGGAGTACCGGCCAACTGACTGACATTTTTGCCGTTACGAGTTGGAAGGGTGAACATCAGCCCAAAGATTCCCGAAATGGTACGAATACTCGCAGTAAGTGGAGAAGGAATTTTGTTTCTCAAACTTGTGATTATTTTAACTGCTAAGCCGGATCGGACGCGTACCCGGCGTTTGTCATTTGTGCAGCTTTGTTGAAGGTGTCCGGATTTATCTTAACAATAATCATTATTATGGCTCGACATGGGCTCCGCTCCGCTCCGCTCCGGTTCCACTGTTGTTCCTCTGTTGTGCCTCGCCAGAGCTGGTAACAAAGGCGCAAATACGCAGCGGGTGAGCCAGCGCTAAGCTGCATTCAATTTCCAGAACTGTCACCGAAGGGATGCGACTGGAGCGGAGACTACAACTGGGGTACGGGCAGGGGTACGGTTACGGGCGGGCATCATTAGCGATACGGGGTAGCTATATCTAGAATCTAGATGGCTATCGGCGGATCAATGACGGCATCTTCCCCTTCCCCCCCTGCTCTATGCTAATGCACACTGCCGAAGCCAGCAAAAACAATTTGGCGATGGCCATAAGGCGATAAGCAAACCAAAATGGAAACAAATTGCCATGGACATGCTAAAAGGAGCAAACACAATGGCATCTTCTTTCGACTGCGGCTGCTGCTGCTGCTGCTGCTGCTGCTGCGTCAAGTGCTGGTCCACAGGGTGCGGTTGTTCATGTGCGGTCCCATGGACACGGGGAAGTGGGACACAAAAGATACATACAATATATATGGATGGATAAGTTGCCCGAGGGCTCGATTTGTTTTGCAGATACGCTAAAAGTAATGCCAAATGTGGCAGTGCTTCATAATTCGTTTGAATGATGAAAACTCAAATTAAATACAAATTCTCTATACGAAAAACTGTACTGAAAAGCAACTGCTTGGCCTGAATTTATGGGTTTAACCTTTTTGGCGCGCTCTGGGAGGCATGAAATATGCACAGGCTATAGGCCATAGGCCATATATCACACCATTGGATTGGACCTGGTGCCATTTGTCTATTCCCATTTGGCAGATCGAATTTTATTTGGCGAATTGATTGTTTTACGCCTTTTTAGCGAGAAGTTGACACAGATTCTGGGATAAACCCTTTGGCTGTGTTTTTTGCACGTGCAACCTACAACCCCCAACCGCCTCGTCATATGGTAACCCTTTTTTTTTTTTTTGTGTCGTGTCTGATCAAACATGGAAGATTCGCTCTGGTGCTAGAGCTACACGTTCATTTTTTGGCGGCAAGTTGCTCGACCTTTTTATCCATTCATTGGCCTGCTCGAATTGGTTTATCTGTGAAATCTGTGACGTTCGGCGTTCGGCGTTCGCCTTTCCGGGGTGCATATATTCGTTACTGTTGCTGCACGGATGTCTGCGCCTCTGCCCTACCTTTGTCGCTTTTGAGTTGTGTGCTCATCTAACCGAAAAACATTGGATAAACAAACAGCCGTTCGAGTATTTTGTTACACTGAGTAACCCGTACCCGTACCCGTACCCGTACCCTGCTCTGGTTCTATGTATTTATTTCTCAATAAGTTCGGAGAGCCAGCCCCGACGAAGGAAGCCAATCTGTCGCATTTGTGTGCATGTTTGGCCCAGCGAGTAGGATAAGCGGGATGGGATGGGATGTGATGGGATGGGATGCACGGCCCTCGGAAACTGAAACTGTAAAATGTTTTGCAAGTTCTGATTTTTAATCCGATCAGAGCGGTTTTAGTCAAATTTAAGCAGATTTATGTCACATTGTTGAGCCGAAAAGTGGTACACGAGAGGCGGAACAGCACAAAACAAGAGACAAGAAAATGCTAACACATGTAAATCAAGAATCAAGATAACTACGAGTGTATCCATCGTCCAACCCGCCTCTGTTCCTTTATTAAGCAAATCGAATCGAGATCATGTTCGACAATTGCAACAAATTTAATTTAAGTTGCGGCAAATTGAACGAAGGCAGAAGAAGGAAGTAATGTGGCAGATTGTGGGGTCTTGGATATGTACAAATAATTTCTATTTGATGTGTAGCAATAATTGTAATGGATGGGATATTTATCTGTAGAAATAATTTGGAATATATGGATAATTTTGGTATATCTTTGTATATTTCTTTGGCAACAAATATTCCCAGTATTTTGTGCAGACTCTATTATTTTTTTGTAAGCTGCAATTTTCTGTTTATTATTTTTGGGTGGTACGCCAAAGTCCAAGCTCAATTTGTGAAGAAAACAAATGGCAAATACAATCGTATGATGATTTAGCGAGAGAGAGTTTCAGAATCCGTTTACATTATTTTCAACCCCACAGAGGAATCATTTTTTGTATTCCAGTCACATAATGAACCAAAAAAAAAAAAGAAGAAAGAATATATGCATGTACATATTCCATTTCCAAATGAATAAACTGTTAGACAAACAATACATTAAACTTTACAACTTCACACCCGCTTCGGCTGCTGTCGGCTGTACGCTCTACGGAATGCATTAGCATTGGGATGGCAGTCCAGCCCCATTTGCAGGGCGGATTGCCCCTTACCGACGGGGAAACTAGAGGCAGACGGAGTGGTAGCTGGTAGCCTGGTATCCTGGTAGCTGGCACCACAAACGATGAGTTGATTGTTATGCAAATGAGCAGGACCAGGACGAAATGCGAGTGCTCAACCCTGTGCCCAGAGGCTGAGCTGCTGCAGTTCATCAAGTGCTCATAAATTTCTACATAGTTGGACTGAGAAAGAGAGAGAGAGAGAGAGATGGGAGTTTACAAGGACGCACGAAGCTATCTAATTACTATGCAGCGCCATGTGCATAATGAATCTGACATTTCTAATTTATGGTTTGATATTTGTTAAGGTTTTTTCTTTTGACTGCTTTGCCGTGCATAAATTGAATCCAAAGGTTGGCCCTAAAATGTCGACAAAACAACGGTTTCATGCCTAGTTATTGTTGAGTATAAACAACGGACACGGACTACGGATAATGGAAAGGTGGCTCGGATAATGCCTGTGTGGCAGAAATCCTTTTGGCGGCTAAGCTGTCACTGCTTGCTGTATGGTGTAAATCCTTTGGTTAGTTCCCATTGATCAGCGATTTATGGCAGGGCTGTCGCTTCTGGAAAATTCCACTTCCGGCTTAGGACGGAAATACGCGCGAAAATCCAGCAATAATTCCACACAAAAAAAGAAGAAAAATTGCAACAAAAAATTAAGGAAAATCCAGGCAAAAAATTACCCCATAGGCAGCCGAACAAGTAGTTAGCTGCAATTACGCAGACCCCTGCCAGGGTGAGTCCCGAGTCCTAAGTCCCTTTTTATGGCCCTGGCACCTCGCCCAGCGACCGTTATGATTTCCTTTCATTTTCATTTTTACTTTTATTTTGTTTGATATGCACGCAAGTCGTTTGACTATTTGTTGCACAACGTCCTGGAGGGGAAATGTGCCGTGGGCCGTGGGCCTCAGTCATTAATTGTTTGCTTTGTTTGCCAGTCAGGCAGTTTGGACATCTGGCCAGCTGCCTGACAGCTCGACAAACACGGACTGACTAACTGTCGGGGAATGGAATTGGGATTGGGAATCGGAATCGGAATCGGAATCTGGGGTAAAAAGTTGATTTGTGCCTCGTGCCACAGCACAGGACACCTGCAGGGCAGAGAGGTATATGTATATGGAATATGGAGTCTATTATATAAAGTGCTCAAACGGCCCACACTTGCGTATCTCTGCCGCACTCTTAAGCTCTTTTGGCGCCGCAGCTATCCAACCATCCATCCGATGGTATTAATTGGCGATTACCGAAACTTACGGGGCCTCGAGAGTTGGGTTGGCGCCGTGCCGGAGTTTGCTTGGGTTCACATTGTCACTCGGCTCTGAAGTGTGATTTATGAGGATGACAGCGCCGCCGATCATCAATCATCAATCACTGTGCTCAAGTGGAAGGTGATTTGGCAAAAAGAACAATGGGTAACAGGCAATCCAGGTTAGTTCGGGTTTTATGCTAATTGTAGACTTTTGATTTAAACCGAGGAATTATGCGGGCAACGTGCTTTTAATTACAGTCGGTCTGTGAGGGTTAGCAACCCCCCCAAAAAGGTTTTGACCCGTCGCGCACAGCACTTGATTCGCTGTCTTGTGCTGTTGATGTTGTTTCGCTTTAAAAAGTTATAAAAATAAGTCGAACTACCAGCAGCAGCAGCAGCAGCAACCCTCGGAGCAAGTACAGTTCATCTTGCACCCTTTGATTTAGTCAGGAAATAGGAACAGGAAAGGGAACAGGAACACAGGGGCTGGGCCAGCATCATCCCCTGTTCGTTTGCTCTCGCTCTCTCTCTCTCTCTCTCTCTTCTT